CTACTACCACAAAAAGCACCACAGATTCTAATGTAAAACCAAAGCAGTGCACCGCGACACCCATAGTACAATCTACCTCTACAACCTCATGTCAACAGAATCAGATCCATGAAGCAAATCACCAAAAACAACCAAGTCATTCATCCCAGGTCAAAACCAAGTTAGCTACAGCATCAACGAGGCGGGAAATTGCCGAGATTGACGCTTTTTTACCGCCTATTGACTATACCACCGCCGTGGTGATGAAAGTGCAAACAGTTACACAGACAGGAGATCTGTTTTCTTTAAAAAAACGGCCATGTGTCGCTGTTTTAAAGAGAGCCGAAGATTTGTTGGCAATCGAAAAGAAAAAAGGTCTAGTACCAAACCTTGGAGTCCATATAAACGGTTTTGGAACATTCAGTGAAGAYGATCTTGAGTCACTGATACGCCTTTCGCGTGTTTCAAGTACTGCTGCCATGGTAACAGAGGAAACGATCTGGTTGGCTCAGTTTAACGATGTTCCAAGTGGAGAATTGGATAGATTGAAAGACGTTCTTTGGAACAAGCCCCCTAATGAAATTATCCTGCGACTTAAAGGGAAGTCTATAGATGTGCTTTCTTTCGCTGATATCATTGCTGAGAGGCACATTGACAACTTCGTGGTCGACATATGCGTTCAAAAGTTCAACGAGGAGGGACACTCGAATGTCCTTTACTTACCTTTAGAATTTTATGATTGGATGAAGGCTAAAGATACAGCATTCACAAAAGAGAAAATAAGAAACTGCGTATTAGAAAGGAAAAACCTGAGCGAAATTAATATTATTATTATCCCAGTCCATATGCCAAGTCATTGGGGTCTAGCTGTCATTGACATTGAAAATGGAAAAATGATGTTCGACGACGGGTTAAAAGTGTATCCTCCTACAAACACACTGAATTGCCTAAAGAGAGCTCTAGAACTCATGCACGAAACGTTCCCTCATTGGGCAGCCCTTCAATCAAGATTTTGGGTAAACTGTCTGGCTTTTGATCGGTTTGGTATGCCATCGCAACTGAAATGCAGAAACATTGGCAGAGGGAGTTGTGGCATTGGCATCATCCTTGCTGCCAGAGACTTCATTTCGAGGGGTGTGTCTGCAACCAACAACATCAGGTGGAAGTACTCTTTAATGAATAATCTTCGCTTGGACCTTATGACACAAATTRTCAAGTGGTCTTCAAGTACAYGAATATTGAATATGTATCCTTTTTCTTAGTATTATTTCAGATGATTATTTTATTATGAAATGATTTTATTAGTGTCGGATAACTAATTTAAAAAGTGCCCTAATCTCGAAGGTCAAAACAATCGTAACTTGACTTTCTTGCAAGCTAACTGTAGGTGGATTCATAAATGTATATGCACAAATAACATCATTCATTGAAGTTAAAACCAAAAAAGGAAACAATTCATAAGTCCTACCACCGTTTGATAGTCAACTGTAAGTGACGTGATTTTAGATTTAAAAAAAGGAGATACGTCTTTACCTATTGTCATTGCCTTAACAGGACTACAGTTCATCTCTAGCAGATCAGGTCTGACTGAAACGATATTTAGCCACGTAAAAACGGAGACACATCTTGCCACAGTCCAGGTCTTTTCCGTAAATATATGGGTACCATTTCACTTCCAGTTCGCGGGTGGCTCTTCCTGAACCTTTTCCAACTACTATACTTGAACGGCAAGTTATATGGGTAGTTTGCCCCCCATGGTAGTGATTAGCCCTACGCTTGGCTGCTGCTATGGCGGCGAGCGGATCTTCTGGCTCAAGCTGAGCGCCTTCACATAAATCTTCTCCTTGCCAAGCCACGTGTTTTTCAAGGTCATTTCCAAAAATCCGTTCGAAGCAGTCCTCCTCATACAGTTTATAGGACTCCATTACAGTTGACTTCGACATGATTGGTGCTCGCCAGTGTGGCATAACCTTGATTGTGTTTGGAGTAGGGTTCCCAAGATCGCTTATAAATCGATCAAAGAACTGGTGTGGGACATGGTGAAATTCTAGTTGGTGCCATTTTCCTACAGAGAAGAAAAGAAAAAAAAAAGAAAAATAACTTTTGCTAGAATTGCTTCAAAAGGCCGTTTATGGCAGAGTTTAAAGCTACTTAAAGCTCCATGTCAGTCATTTTTTTATCAAATAGGTTTAACTTAAACTTGAACTTTACCTTTGCAACGGTGATGGTGCGTGTTTCGAACTCGTTCTAGGGCACAAGAAATCCATGTCTTGTACGATCGAGTATGGGCTCCCTTCCTTGTTTTTCGGGGGAATCTCAATTTTTGTTCCTCGAGGACAAACATTGTTGTCCGTGGCATGTTTCGATCCACGTGGCGAGTTTCCCAGTGCTTAGAATATGCCGAAAAAGACGCAAAATTCCTTTCACAAGCTGAGCAGTTGATTATGAAGTTATTTGACGGCATCTTGCATATRAATTAGGAAGTTTAAGTTCATAACAGTTTGAAGTTAAGTTTAGATGACGCTAACGTTCACAGTAAATTTGACTGGCAGCTGACTCGCGGAAAATTACCATAAAAATTAATTATTTGCTAATGCACTAAATGCGAGATCTGTAGGCAGCCGAATTACTTGGATACTTGTATATCTGTAACTTATGTACACGACAGTGTTTGATGCCTGCTTGGATCGTAATCGCTAACAATAGTCTTATAAAAGTTAAAATGATTTTTTGAACTTATCTGGCAAAATACTTTAAT